GAGTGCAGCAGTGGGGAGACGCTGTGCCAGCGCCACGCCGAGTGCGTCAACATCCCGGGCAGCTTCCGCTGCGAGTGCGCCACGGGATACCGGCTGTCCCCGGGGGGCGCCTGCGTGGGTAAGGGACACACCTGGGGACACCTGCGGGACACCTGGGCACGGCTGGGACACACCTGGGAAACACACCTGGGACATACCTTTGTCATAGCTCATCACACCTGGGACACACCTTGTACCTGATCACACCTGGGGAACACCTGGGAAACCCCTGGGGACACCTGGGACACTCCTGGGACACACCTGGGACACTCCTGGGACACACCTGGGACACAGCTGGGACATACCTTGTCATACCTCGACACGCCTGGGACACATCTGGGGAACACCTGAGGAACACCTAGGCACACCTGATCACACCTGGGGAACACCTGGGACACACCTGGGGCACATCTGAGCACACACCTGATCTCACCCCCCGCTTTTTTCCGGGATGAGAGCACATAAATCTCGTTGTCTGTGGAGTCTCCTCTCCCAAACCGTGGGTGGGGCTTTGCTGTCCCCACCTGTCCCCTCCTGTCCCCTCCTGTCCCTCACCTGGACCCCCTGGGCTCCGTTTCAGGTCGCAACGAGTGCCAGGAGATCCCCAACGTGTGCAGCCACGGGGACTGCGTGGACACCGAGGGCAGCTACGTCTGCATCTGCCACAACGGCTTCAAGGCCACCGGGGAGCAGACCATGTGCATGGGTCAGTGTCACCTCCCCCGGGTCAGTGTCACCCATCCTGGGTCAGTGTCACCCCCCCAGTCAGTGTCACCATCCTGGGTCAGTGTCACCCCCCCCGGGTCAGTGTCACCTCCCCCTGGTCAGTGTCACCCCCCCTGGGTCAGTGTCACCATCCTGGGTCAGTGTCACCCCCCCCGGGTCAGTGTCACCTCCCCCTGGTCAGTGTCACCATCCTGGGTCAGTGTCACCCCCCCCGGGTCAGTGTCACCCATCCTGGGTCAGTGTCACCCATCCTGGGTCAGTGTCACCCCCCCAGTCAGTGTCACCATCCTGGGTCAGTGTCACCCTAAAAAGTCACAAGTCCCTGACACTCCAGGGTGGTACCAAGCACAGCCGAGTGTCCTCCCAGGCTGTCCCCGTGTCCCGGTGTCACCTGGGCTGTCACTGTCCCTTGTCCCCGCAGACATCGATGAGTGTGACCGGCAGCCGTGCGGCAACGGCACCTGCAAGAACACCGTGGGCTCCTACAACTGCCTGTGCTTCCCGGGCTTCGAGCTCACCCACAACAACGACTGCATGGGTCAGCGTCCCCCCCGCGCCCTGGGGACAGCGGGGGTGGCCCCGTGTGACACACGGGTGACCCCTGACCCTGCCCTGCTGTGTCCCCAGACGTGGATGAGTGCTCGTCGCTGGTGGGGCAGGTGTGCAGGAACGGGCAGTGCATCAACAGCGTGGGCTCCTTCCAGTGCCTGTGCCAGGAGGGCTACGACCGCACCCCCGACGGCAAGAACTGCGTGGGTCAGTGGCCACTCAGGGTCCACTCAGGGTCCACTCAGGGTCCACTCTGTGTCCACTCAGGGTCCAGGCTCCTCTGGCCTGGCTGGTGCTGTCCCTGTTGTCCCCAAGCTGGTGCCAGCAGTGGATTCTGCAGAATCACCCAGTGGCCCCTGGAAGCAAAGCCTGGTCACTGGAATGTCCCTGGAGATCTGGGCTGGCCCTCGCTGCCTCTATGTCCCTTCAGGCCGTCCCCTCCCTGTGCTGGCACCTGCACTGGGACAAATCCCACAAATCCTTTCCATGCCCTAAAACTCCTAACAGGGACCCATCCTGGAAATGTGTCCCCTATTCCCTGTGACTTTTGGGGCGGGGCAGGGCCTGGTGCAGCCCCAGGTGCCCACCCCTGGCTCTTTTGCCCTCTCCAGACATCAATGAGTGTGTGAGCCTGCCCGGGACCTGCTCCCCTGGCACCTGCCAGAACCTGGAGGGCTCCTTCCGCTGCATCTGCCCCCCGGGCTACGAGGTGCAGAACGACAACTGCATCGGTAAGGTGGGCTCTGTGCCCCCCAAACTGCCCTTCCCCACCCCCAAATCCCTGCTGGGAGCCGGGCGAGCCCAGCTCTGGTGGCACGGGGGGCTCAGGGGTTCTGCTGTGCCCGTTTTGCCTGTGGGAGGGTGTGGTCACTGAGCTGCAAAGAGAGAGAAAGGACAGCAACACACACGGAGCTCTTTTGGGGAAAAAAGGCCAATTTATTGTACAGACAGCCCGGATTTAAAGTGTGTCAGTGCAGCCAGGACAGGACAGGAGCTCATGGGACAATTGGGAAAAACATCCTTGGGACAGCACCTCAGGATGTGTCCCACGGGAAAGACACCAGGGGTTAATGTTGGTGATGAATTCCACTCTGTTTGTCACCGTGTTGTCACCCTGGGAGACTCCTCCCTAACTGAAGCTGCAGTCAGCTTGTCAGCCTGGGAATGGAGCTGAGAGTCAGGAGAAATCCAGGCCTGGAAAGAATTCCCAAGCTGGGATTCCCCAGCTCCCTAAATGTGTGTGTCCACAGGAGGGAGGGCTCAGGGTTGTGATGTCCAGCCCCCAAACCCCCTTGAGCTGTTGGGGTGACCTCTGGCTGTGTCCCTGTTGCTCTCAGACATCAACGAGTGCGAGGAGGAGCCCAACATTTGTCTTTTTGGGACGTGCACCAACACCCCCGGCAGCTTCCAGTGCGTGTGTCCCCCGGGCTTTGTTCTGTCCGACAACGGCCGCCGCTGCTTCGGTCAGTGCTCCGCTCCTGGAGGGGTGGGGACAGGAATTCCCGGGAATCTCCCTGATTTTGGCACTGCCCCATCCTCCCCCAGACACTCGCCAGAGCTTCTGCTTCACTCGCTTCGACAACGGCAAGTGCTCCGTGCCCAAGGCTTTCAACACCACCAAGGCTCGGTGCTGCTGCAGCAAAATGCCAGGGGAGGGGTGGGGAGACCCCTGCGAGCTGTGCCCGCAGGAGGGCAACGGTAGGAGGGGACAGGGGAGGGGGTGACCCGGGACAGGGGAGGGGGTGACCCCAGGGAGAGGTGGGGGTGTCCCGGTGGGAGTGTGGGGATAAGGGAAAGGGATGGGGGTGTCCCCATGGAGGGATGGGGTGTCCCCATGGAGGGGTGGGGTGTCCCCATGGAGGGATGGGGTGTCCCCACGGGACTTCAAGAGCCTCCAAAGTTTCGGTTCCAGCCACTGGGAGCAGAATCCCTTCATCCTATCCCATCCCATCCCATCCCACCCCATTTCCTGCTGTTTTCCAGTTGCTTTCCAGGAGCTGTGTCCGTACGGCCACGGGGCCATCCCAGGCCCAGGTGACACCCGGGAAGGTGAGGCTGTGGGGAGGGGTCAGCAGAAGTTTGCTGGGGGGGGGGTTTGTTGTTGCCTGGGACCCACCAGAGCTGGGCAGGATCCTGGGGGCACAGGGCACCCCCAAACCCCAAAACTGCTCGCCAGGGTTTGATCCCTCAGCTCTGGAGAGGGAATCTCCCGGGATCACCTGAGCATCCTCTGTCAGTCCTGAGGGGTCAGGGCTGTTTGTGGCTGTATAAAATTTCATTTTCCATTTCCAGACGTGAACGAGTGCTCGGAGAACCTGGGGGTGTGCATCAACGGCGCCTGCATCAACACCGACGGCTCCTTCCGCTGCGAGTGCCCCTTCGGCTACAACCTGGACTACACCGGGGTCAACTGCGTGGGTGAGGCTCTGGGGGGGGTTTGTGGGGGTGCCCTGCTCCCTCCTGCTCCCTCCAGAGGTGATGGATCAGTGTCCATGTGCCAGGAGGGAATCGCTGCTCCCCCACCCCTTCCCTCCCTTCCCTCCTGGTTCTGCTGGCACAGTTTGACCCCCCAGCCCAGCCCTTCCTCCTCTTCCTCCTCCTCCTCCTCACTGCTGTGCTCCCCAGACACGGATGAGTGCTCCATTGGCAATCCCTGTGGCAATGGCACCTGCACCAACGTGGTGGGAGGCTTCGAGTGTGCCTGCGACGAGGGCTTCGAGCCAGGGCCCATGATGACCTGTGAAGGTGATTACAGACCTGGGGGACAGCTGGGGGACAGTCCCTTCACTGCCACCCTGCTGGGAGTCTGGGGGACAGCTGGGGGACAATCCCTTCATTGCCATCACACTGGGAGTCTAGGGGACAATTGGGGGACAATCCTTCATTGCCATCACACTGGGAATCTGGGGGACCCCCTGTCCCTGCCTGGGCACGGATGAGGCTCCTCTCCACCCTGGGCTCCTTCAGTTCCCTCTGGAGCCCTGGGTGAGCTCAGGAGCCGCCTCCCCGAGGAGCAGCAGCCCATTCCCATCCCCTGGGACACCGGGGCTCCGTCCCTCCGCAGGGGGACCCCACAGCAGGACAAAGCCCTGGTGGGGTGGATGCCCAGGGAGGGTGGGTGTGCCCTGGGGAGGGCAGCCAGCTGAGCTGTGTCCTCTGCTCCCTGCAGACATCAACGAGTGCTCCCTGAACCCCCTGCTCTGCGCCTTCCGCTGCATCAACACCTTCGGCTCCTACGAGTGCACCTGCCCCTCTGGCTACGCCCTGCGGGAGGACAGGAGGATGTGCAGAGGTAAAAACCCTTTGTGCAGCCAGCAGGGCATGGCCCAAACTGTCCCCGGCCCCTGCTCTTGGCTCTTGTGTACAGGGAAGGTGGGAATTCTGCGCTGGCTTTTCTCATCATCACCCACCGCGGTGTCCTGCGGGCAGGGAGGAATTTTTCCCTGGGGAGGGTGGGGAGAGTGTCCCTGGATCGCTGGAATTATCCAAGGCCAGGCTGGACAGGGCTTGGAGCAGCTTGGGACAGTGGGAGGTGTCGGGGCTGGCACTGGATGAGTTTCAAGTCCCTTCCAGCCCAGCTCATTCCATGAGATGTTTTAACGTGGCCCGAGGCTGCAGGGATGTGCAGGGCTGGCAGGGCTGGCAGGGCTGGCAGGGGCTCTGGTGGCTCTCCTTGCAGATCTGGACGAGTGTGCAGAGGGGCTGCACGACTGCGAGTCCCGGGGGATGCTCTGCAAGAACCTCATCGGCACCTTCATGTGCATCTGCCCCCCCGGCATGCAGCGCAGGCCCGACGGCGAGGGCTGCACAGGTACCCGGGCAGGGTGGGCACAGGTACCCGGGCACGGTGGGCACAGGTACCCGGGCAGGGTGGGCACAGGTACCCGGGCACGGTGGGCACAGGTACCCAGGCACGGTGGGCACAGGTACCCGGGCACGGTGGGCACAGGTACCCGGGCAGGTTGGGGCACTCCTGGGCATGGTGAGGGTCCTCTGAGGAGGAGCCATCCATGGAGCTTTGGTTTACATCCTTTTTTGTATTTCATCCTTTGTTTTACATCCTTTATTTTACATCTTTCTTTATTTTACATCTTTCTTTGTTTCACACCTTTCTTTATTTTACATCCTTTGTTTTGCATCCTTTGTTTTACATCCTTTGTTTTGCATCCTTTGTTTTGCATCTTTCTTTCTCTTGCATCCTTCTTTGGTTTACATCTTTCTTTGTTTTCCATCCTCGGGTTTTCCCACATGTCACAACATCCTGAGTGTCCCAATAGGACACACAAAACCTCTGCCCATCCCTGCGACCCCCAGGGTGACACAGCCCTGGGCCACGTGTGCTTTCCTTTGAGTTTTATAAAGGCTGTGCCGAGCTGCTTTTGGATCCAATCCAGTCCAATCCAATCCCATTCCAGTCCCATTCCAATCCAGTCCCATTCCATTCCAGTCCAATCCAAGCATGGGCAAACCAGGGAAGGTGAATTTTGGCCACCCTGCTCTGGGAGAGGTCTGGGATGTGTGGATGTTTTCCCCGGGGCTGGTGGGTATTTATTTTCCCGAGGACTGGTGGATATTTCTTTTTCCCGGGGCTGGTGGATGTTTTCCCCAGGGCTGGTGAATATTTATTTTCCCCGGGGCTGGTAGAGTTTCCTCCCAGCTACCCAAAGGCACGGAAGGGACCCTCCGGGGCTGTGTGAGGGCGTTCCAGGGGGAGTGAGGAATTTGGGGATGTTCATCCCTGGCCTCAGCAGGGCTGTTTGTGCCTCCTCCCCGGCAGATGAGAACGAGTGCAGGACCAAGCCCGGGATCTGCCCCAACGGGCGCTGTGTGAACACGGCCGGCAGTTACCGCTGCGACTGCAACGAGGGCTTCGAAGTCAGCGCCTCGGGCACGGAATGCATCGGTAACGCCGGGCTGGGCTGCGGCACCTCCCCCCCGGCACCTCAGCGAGAATTTTGGGTGTGCAGGGTGTAGCCGTGGGATGGGGTTTTAACCCTTTAAGTGAGGCAGAAGTAAGAGGCACAGAAAGAGACAAATTTATTCACAAACACACTTGGTTTTATAGCAGGACTTGCAATTCTAAGAGTAGAGAAAAGGTGATTGGTTCAGAGAGAAGACACCCCATTGCCAGGGCCTGGGCACACACCACAACAGGGGTTTGATTTTGTTATTAATTCCTTTTTATTTTGACCAAATCATCACCCTGGGAGAAATTCTCCCTTAGCCTTGAGCTGGACCAGCTTATGGGCTGGGAACAGAGCTGAGAAGCTCCAGCCTGGAATATTTTTCAGGCTGTAATTTTCTTACTTTCTCAATGTGTGTCCCACACAGGGGGTTCAGAGAGCAGGGCAGGACACAGGGAATGGTGACATTTGGGATATTGGGGAGGGGGGGGAATTGTTCCTCTCCTGGATCCCTGGGATGTCCGAGGACAGGGTTTGGAGCAGCCTGGGACAGTGGGAGGTGTCGAGGGTGGCACTGGGTGGGATTTAAGGTCCCCTCCAACCCAACCCATCCTGGGATTCTTTGCTCCTGAGCAAAAAGGAGCATCCCTTTTATCCACACCCTCCCGGGCGTTCCCCCCGGGTGCTGGCACTGCCTCAGCTGCTGGATTTGTGTCCCTTTGTGTGCCCAGACACCCGGCAGGGTTTCTGCTTCACGGAGGTGCTGCAGACCATGTGCCAGATGTCCTCCACCAACCGCAACCTGGTCACCAAGTCCGAGTGCTGCTGCAACAGCGGGCGCAGCTGGGGCCCCCAGTGCGAGCTGTGCCCCCTGCCTGGCACTGCCCACTACAAGAAAATGTGTCCCCACGGCCCTGGCTACTCCACGGATGGCAGAGGTGAGGTGGGCACGGGGGAAAAATCCCCCTGGAGCAGACAGGGAGCCTCGGCAGCGCTCCCTGGAAATGGAGCTTGCCCCTGGTGTCAGGGGGAGTTTCAGGCCAGCCCTGCCTCAGCCTTGGATTTTTTTTTTTTTTTTGGGCTTCATTTTAAGGGATCCCTCTGGCCTTCAAGGTCTAAGGATGGCAGTCTCGTCATGGCTGTTATGAAACGAGTTATTTATTAGCAAAGGATGTAACAGATGAAAGATCTTAATCAGAATTGCTTATTGCACGGGGTAAGATGAAAAGAAGTGCTGGTGGGTCACAGCAGAACAGGAACCGTGCAGATATCGAGGTGTTAAAGCTGGCAAAAGAAATGGGATTGATCAGGAACTTAGCATGGAAATGATGATTATTAACAGAGTCCTTCACTCAGCCTCCACCCCTGCTCCGGGGAGAAACCTCACACATTTCCAGGGAACGTGCAGCAGATTTCTGCTTTGTGAAAGTTCAGCCAGAAATCCAGTTTATCTTTGCAGCTCCTGCTTTAACAGGGGGATATTTATTTAGTTAGGAGCTGGGTGCCAAAATCATCCAAGACCTTGTCCTGTTTATGTTTATGTGATAACAAACACCAGATTAACTTTTTTTTTTTTTTTGAGGGGGGGAGGGGGGAGATGAGCACTGACAGCTCCTCCTTTCCCTCCCTGCCCAGACATCGATGAGTGCAAGGTGCTGCCCAACCTGTGCAGGAACGGGCAGTGCATCAACAGCATCGGCTCCTTCCGCTGCCACTGCCGGCTGGGCTACACCCCGGACATCACGGGCACGGCCTGCCAGGGTGAGCCGGGCACCCTCGGGCACCCTCGGGCACCTTCCCCGACTTTTTACCCTGCCCCGGACCCGCCCTTCCCTCGGGAAGCCGCTCTCCTCCTCCCCCGGAGCTCTGGGTACCCCGCCCCGTTTTGTGATGCTCTGTTCCTCCAAGGCTTCGTTTAACTCCTTAAAAAAAAAAAAATGAGTTTCTTGTCTTCCCTGAGCCCAGGGCTGCCCAGGATTGGGATGCTGAGCTGAAATCTGGGAGCTGCCAACCCTCCCCCCTGCCAAGGCAGCGCAGCTGGTTCCACCCAGCCGTGCTGGGAATCCAGATGTTGGCCAAAAAAAAAAAAAAAAAAGGCACCTCTGGAATGACAGCTCTCAATCTTTCAGCAGGATTTGTCCCCACATTTGTTGTGCTGGCTCAAACTGAGCTGCTCCCCCAAAGCCCTGGGCTCTGCTCGGCTGCTTCCTGCAGAGGGAAAAATGAGGGAGTGAAAATATCCAGGAGTGCCAAAATCCACGGGGACATCCCAGCCCTGAGCCACTAAACCTGGCATCACCTCGTGCTCAGGATTGGGCTGGGAGGTCCGAGGGGTGGAGGGGACCCTGGCCAGCAGCACAGGCTGATGTGTTTTGTCCCTGGGGTGCAGATCTGGACGAGTGTAACCAGTCCCCAAAGCCCTGCAACTTCATCTGCAAGAACACCGAGGGCAGCTACCAGTGCTCGTGCCCTCGGGGCTACATCCTGCAGGAGGATGGCAAAATCTGCAAAGGTACAGAGCTCGGGGACAGGGGACAGGCCAGCCAGACACGGGAAAATGTCAGCAGAAGGATGTGGGGAACGGTGCCAGGCTGGGCTGGGTGTGAGGTGTGACACTGCAGGTGTGTCTGTCAGGGGGAAAAACGCTCCTGGAATCTTTCCTGGAGACTGCAGAGCACGCCCTGAGCTCAGGGAGCTTAGAGATGATGTCCTGGCATTGTCACCAGCCAGGCTGGGCTGTGCCCACCTCTCCCAGTGTGAGGAGCCTGAGGATGAGGGAGATCCTCAGGGATTCTCTGGGATTTATGAAGTTCAGGAGAGGCAGGGAATCATTTCTTCATCTGCCCGGTGTTACCCTGAGGTGGGGACAGGTTTGTTCTCCTGTAGCACTTCAGGGGTGTTCTGGGGGACACTGAGGTGACAAACTGAGACCTTCTCCTTGTCCCTTCAGATTTGGATGAGTGTTCCACCAAGCAGCACAACTGCCAGTTCCTGTGTGTCAACGTCATCGGGGGCTTCAACTGCAAGTGCCCCCCTGGCTTCACCCAGCACCACTCGTCCTGCATTGGTGAGTGCACAATTCCTGCCCTGCCCCTTCCCACGGAGCAGCTCCGGCTC